GAAACATTTAAAAAGCAAGGAAATATGATACCTCCAAAGGAACACAGTAATTCTCCAGCAACAGATTTCCATGAAAAATGAATTTATGAAATCCTGAAAAAATAATTCAAAATTGATTTTAAAGAAGCTTAGTGAGATGCAAGAGAACACAGAAAAACAATATTAAGAAATCAGAAAAATAATTCAAGATATGAATGAGAAATTTAGCAAAGAAATTGATATCATAAAAAAGAATCAAATAGAAATCCTGGAATAAGAATTCACTAAATTAAATAAAAAATAAATTTGACAGCCTCAATAGCAGCTCTCAACAGAAACATGACAGGCCAGGAAAGAATGGTATAATATAATTATAGAGCTGTAGAAAAACCTATTAGCCATGGATACTATGCCCAGCAAAATTATCCCTCATAAATGAAAAACAAATAAAATATTTACCAAAAAACAAAATCTGAGGGAATTCATCACCACTATACCAGCCCTACGAGAAATGCTTAAGGGGATCCTATAACTGGAAGCAACAGGACAATATCCATCATCATGAATATACACAAAAGTATAAAACCCATTGGTAGAACAAACACAAATAAGGAAGAGAAAGGACTCAAATGTTATCACTACAGAAAGCTACCAACTCATACTGATAAATAATAAGAAAGAAAAGAGGAACAAAGAACATACAAAACAAACAATATTGATTAATAAAATGACAGGAATATGTCCTCACATATCAGTAAAACCTTGAATATAAATGGATTAAAATTTCCACTTAAAAGACATAGACTGGCTAAATGAACAAAAAAGCATGACCAGCTACATGCTGCCCACAATAAACTCAGCTCAGCTATAAAGAAACATATAACTGAGAGTAAAGGGACAGAAAAAGATGTTTCATGCAAATGGAAACCAAAACCAAGCAGGAGTAGCTATACTTATGTCAGATAAAACAGACTTTCAGTTAAAAAGAAAAAACAGTAAAACAAGTCAAAGAAGGTTACTATATAGTGATAAAGAGACCAATTCAGCAAGAAAATATGACAAGTCTAAGCATATATGCACCCAACACTGAAGCACCCAGATATATAAAGCAATATTTTAGCTGTAAAGAGACAGATAGATTCCAATACAATAATAGTTGGGGACTTCAACATCACCTTTTCAGAATTAAACAGATCATCTAGACAGGAAATTAACAAAGAAACATTGAGTTTAAACTGCATTTTAAACCAAATGAACTAAATAGACATTTACAGAACATTTAATCCAACAGTTACAGAATATATATTCTTCTCATCAGCACATGTAACATTCTCCAGGATAGAACATGTGTTAGGACACAAAACAGCATCACAGTGTGCCAGTTAGTGTTGTTTGTGAGAGGATGCATTCTGTTTTAGTGAATTTTTTTTTGGAGATTCTTCAAATGCGTTTGCCCAGTTCATGATGGGTGATTTGCACGTGCACCTGCCCATACCACACTGAGGGTTCACCAATTTTTGCCCCAAAATAGCATGACTCCGATGTCCTACCCTCCCTATTCATCCAATCTTGCCCCGAGTGACTTTTTTTTGTTTGTTTCCCTGGATGAAAAAAGTCCTCCAAGGGAGATGTTTTGCTGATGTGGAAGAGATGAAACAAAAAACAGCAGAAGCACTAAAGGCATCAAAATTGACACATTCAAAAACTGTTTTGAGCAGTGGAAAAAGTGTCTCAATAGGTATATTGCATCAAATGGAGAGTACTTTGAAGGTGACTGAAATTTAATCACATAAGGATACACACTTTTTTTATAAATAAATTCTGGGTTTGGGGGGTGCCTATATATATCTGTGTGTGTGTATATATATATATACACACACATACACACATACATATATACATATACACATATACATATATACACATACATGTATACATCCATATGTACAACGGAAAGTTATTCAGTCATAAAAAAGATTGAAATCATACCACTTGCAGCAACATGGATGGAATTGGAAGTTATTCTGTTAAGTGAAATAACCCAGGAACAGAAAGACAAATATCACATGTCCCACATGACCTCACTCATATGTGGGAGCTGAAATAGTTGCTCTCACAGAGGGAGAGATTAGAATGCGAGATACCAGCGGCGGGGAAGGCTTTGTGGGTAGGGCAGGGTGGGGCCCTGAAGAGAGGTTGGTTGATGGTATAGATAGACAGTTAGACAGAAGGAATAAGTTCCAGTGTTCGACAGCAGAGCAGGAGGACCACTGTTCACAACAGGGTATTGTATATTTCAAAGGAGCTGGAAGAGAGGAGTTGAAATGTTCCCAACACACAGAAATGAGAAAAACTCGAGGGGATACCTCAAATGCCTTGGCTTGACCACTGCACAGTCTATGTAAAGGACAAAACAGCATAGGTGCCACATAAACGTGTACAAATATTATGTATCAATTTTACAAAAGAAAAGTTTGGACCCCTGAGTGCTGGAGCATGGCCTTTGCTGCTCTCTAACCTATGGTGCTGTAGTTAGTTCTGCACCAGCAGGCCTTCTTTGCCAAAGCTCCAGTGAATAAGAACTTGTTGGGGGAGGAGAGCAGTAAAGAGGACATAGAATATAAATTTTAAGCCCAGACATTGCCAGCTGCTTCTAGCAGAGCTAGAGGACAGCATATTTGGGCAGGGATCCAGGAAGCAGAAACAGTGAGAATATAAAAGGAGCAAAAAGCTTTCTTTGCTACTCCATCGATTGAAAAAAGAACAAGTCAGTTCAAAAATCCGTCAGAATGTCTTTCCGGAAGCTCACAATTGGGGGAGGATGAGATGGTCTTGACAGCCATTCTTTTTTACTGTCTTCCACACTAAGAGAAATGAAATTTGTCAGTGAGCTTCCCGGTGAAAAGTCTTTTGAAAGTTTTACACAGATGAGTGTATTTTCCGAGGCTGTTACCATTTTTTTAAAGTTACAAGTTGTGTTGGAAGGCTTTGTCCAAGTACCAACTGAGGACTAGGTACTGATTTCACCCTAAAAATCTGCTGTCTGGGCAAGCAAGGCCGATAGTGTCCAGATCAGGGATTTGCAGGAGTAAGGATTTCCTGCGGTAATCCCACAAGCCTTTCTTGCAGGACAACCCTTGACTTCGTGCTCTCCTATTTTAAGCTTTAAAAAATGCTTTATTTTCATTACTAAAAAGATCTCACTGTGGCCCCATCCAGCAGGTTCACTGGGGGAGTCATGTGGCATGGAGCTTAGTAGGAACCTGTGTTCCCTGCCTGGCACGGAGTGTGTTCTTAACTGACATGTGTGGAAATGAGTGGTGTTCTTGTCTCTTCTCCATTCTCCTTTTCCTTATTTGTCTCTAATTCTACCTTTGCACTGTTGTTCCTTCCTGTCCTTTTTTCCTCCCTGACTTTGTCCCTCACATTTCTCCCAAATTGAGTATCACGAGGGGTAGACATGGAAGGGCACTGATAGAGAGGCGGTGGGATTCTGAGTTGCAGGAGGGGAAGCAGAGCTAATTTGGAGTGGACAGCTGTGTTTGCTGCTGAGAACAGTGGACCGAGGGATGCTTGCTGGACGCCACACAGCACCTGGCTTAGGCAATGATGGTGTACCATCTCTTTTCCCCCATTTGATCGTAAGACTCCAGCCTTCTCCCAAGCATTTCCTTTTCAACTGCTCCCCAACACCTCACACAGCAGCTATGGCTATGGAGACACCATGGCAGGCTGTAGGCAGGGGCAAAACGGCATCTGTGAGAACTTCACCCTGGGCACATCCACCCCTCTATCACCTTTAGACTGGGAGGCGTCCTCTTTTCCCTCCCAATCCTAGACTGTTGCGGGAGCAGTAAACCCGAGTGAGCTGCAGCATGAGGTGGGGGATCAGAAGTCCCCTGGGTGCCCCTGCTGTCCAGCCAGCAGTTGACTTGTTCCCTGTCCTGCTGTCCCTGTGTCGTGAGCCAGTGATTCACCCGCATGCTGGACTGACCTCTGCACTCATGGCTGCGAGTCCTCGAGTAGGTTGCTTTGCTGCCCTGGTCCTGGGTCTTGGATTTTTGCTCATGCTTTGGACTCTCAGATTCTGTTTCTCAAATGGCAATAATCTAATATTAGAAGTGACTTTATGTTCTGATGATAGGATTCTGCTGCTGAGAACTAATCATAATAAGAGCAGTTAATGTTCACTGAGCACTTTCATGGTTCCAGGGACATGCTAACATTTTCATGTTTTATTCAATTTTACCTTCACAATTATCTTGCTGATTTTTCTCCCCCCCATTTTGCAGATGAACAGAATAAGGCTTTGAGAGTTTAACTGCATAGCTAGTGAGCAGCACAGCCAGGTTTAAAACCCAGGTCTCATGCCAGTGTTTAAGCATAACTCTGCTACTCTGCCCTCTGTGTCAGCAGGAGGGCTACAGGGAACAGAAACTCTTGGGAAAGGAACCCATTTTTTTCCTGGGACTTTCTAAGGCCACCAGAATTCCTGCTCCTCTGGAATTCCTCAGGAGAGTGAGTAGAGGTGTGGAGCCTGGAGTTCTGGAGCAGGTTGGCAGGTGGGCCAGGTGTAGGCTGGCCTGCCCCTGGGATCAGGACCCCTGCTTCAGCTAGCCCAAGCCTCCCTGTGGCCCCACAGAAGCCAGACACAGAACTGTGAGCACCTGTGAAGGGAGGCTCGGTGTAAGCAATTGCTTTTGAGGATCCAGCTGCCCGATTGTTCTAATTAGATTAGATCAAGGAGAAAGAGAATGAGTTGTGTATAAATCTCCCGCTGCCAGTAACTTCAGTGCACTGTGTGGCTGGGATGAAGCTGGGAAAATAAATTATGTGATGGTAGCCAGGACGCCTTGAACATCTTGAATTCCCTTTTCCTTCTGCAGTCCCTGATGTTTCCTGCAGGTTTTTGCTGGCTCTGTCTCACCACTTCCTTTCCATAGTTAAAACCTTCCATACAAATCTGATCAAAAGAGAATTGGCCTATTGTGTTAACAGATGACTGTATTTTTAATTGGTAGAACCAGGAACTGTGGGACATCTGAGTTTCACGGAGATTCTGGACACATCTCTCAAGGTCAGCTGGCAGGAGCCCCTGGAGAAAAATGGCATCATTACAGGTAAGTATCCCTGTCTTCCAAAAAAGCAAAAGATAAGTTTGCCTTCACAAAAAGAGGTAGATATAGCTTCAAAACTGCTGGTAGAGTGGACCTGTGCCCACAGCCTTCTTTCAGGTAACCAAGAGTCTCTCTGGCCATGTGGCAGTCACAGCACCCGGGACTGTATCACTGACAGCCAGCCTGGCTTGGGGGCATTTTACTGTGTGAACAGCAACTGCAGAGTCTGGGGATTTATTCTCCTTCCATTATCTTACCCAGCCTCTAAAGTCTCTTTGATCAATAAGAATCTGTCATTTTATGGTACATTTGTTCACATGCATTTATCTCAATTCTCATAGCAATGTGGTAGGGTAAATATTGATATTATGGCCATTTTACAGATGAAGAAATTGAAGATCAGAGAGGGTGGGCAGCCTTTTCTTCATCAGCAGATGACACTGAGTGCTTCTATGTGCAGGCACCCTTCTCAGACACAGTTCTAGGGTGTGACCATGATGCGCACGTGCCAGCCAGCATCTTATCCCTCATCCTACAGCCGTGCACAGGGGGCCAGGATCAGATCTGGGTCTCTGGCTCCAGATCCCCTCCCCTGAGGAGACTGGCAGCCAGGCATCTCCGAGGAAGCTCTGGGCATTGCATGGGATGGGGCTGTGCCCTAGCTGCTCTTGAAAAGTAAGGCCTCCTCCAGTTTAAGGTGTCTCTGGGGTGACAGCTCACCTTTTGTCGGGTTTTTAATGATTTCATTTTGTAGAAAAATCCCTGAAAAACCTCTCAGGTGAGAGCTCACTTTAAATCTTAGTTTGAAAAAGGAACATTTTTGGTTTGGTAAAACCAGCATAGGCTCTGGCCTCAGGTGGAGTTGGGTAGGGCCCCTGCTCCACTATTTCAATCACTGTGGGGGCTTCAGCTGGCCTCACAGACCCTCAGTTAGACTGCAGGTGTCATAACACCCCTCGTAGGGCTGTCTGGAGGACAAACTGAGGCAAGTTGTGTTGAGTGGCTGCCCACTGCCTGGCTCACAGTAGCTCGGCCTCCAGTGGGTGTCCCTTTTCTTGCTAAACATTCCTGGAAATTTTGAGCGAGCCACTTAACATTCTTATTGTTTGGTCGCCCACGTACTGAACACTCACATGTCAGTCCTCTAAGGGCCTTCGCCTATGGCATCTTATGTCTGTCACGGGCTCCTACCAGGGCATTCTACAATTGGTCCCTGAGGTTGAATGAGTGGTCCTGACTTCCAAGTGAGTTGTCTGTCCTCAGCCTAGTGAGTCAGCTTGGACCTGAGCGGCACGGGGGCACAGTGGTGGTTTTGTTTCCAGGCTGCCCATAGGAGCACGGACTTCTTGAGTGCTTGCTAGTTCTGTGATGCAAACTCATGCTCCGGGTGTCCAAGAAGCCTGTGCAGGGAATGTGCCACCTGGAGACCAGGAATGGGTGGTCTGTCCTGCTGCCAGCTGTAGTGCAGTAGGGCTCTTCCTCCTCCCGCTGGTGTCCTGGAGAACTCTGGGCACTTCCCAGGTACAGGCACCCCAGTCTTCAGGACCTTGTTTCGTTTCTCAGCACCACATGAAGTGTGTCTTATAACCCCTTCCTGGCAGGGATGAGACTGAGACTGAGGCAGAGATGTCCCTTGGTCACCTGCAGGTGGCTGCGCCTGCACAGGCACTGGTGTCCTCGCTCTCTGCGACATCAGTGTGCCGGGTGGGGCGTGAATCCTGCTCCAAACCCTGTACTTCCCCATCCACAGTCCTCTTAGTCTTTCAGTGAGTTTCTCAAAGCTCCTGGGGCCAAAAAATACCTAACAGTTCTGTTGATTAAGTAGTCGGGACCAAACAACTTAAGTTATTTATGTGCTAACTACTTAATAGCCACTCAAACAATAATACACATTAATTAAAAGAAGAAAAAACTATTTGTATTTCTTTTTTCAGTAGCCATAGTTAGCTCTCAGTGGGATGAGTGCACCCACTGGGCACTGCCCAACTTCTCAAACCTTGAAATCACATTGCACCCACCACCTTTATTTCCTGGTCCATGTTAGTTTCCGGGTGTTTTGTTTTGTTTTTTTTTAAATCACAGTCACCACAAAAAACCCCTCTGCTTTGCAAAAATAGGGTCTATCAAAGGGCATGCAGCACGTTCATCTCGAAACGGTGAACCACCCCAGCTGAAAGCTCACACATGTCCCACAGGCATTGAACATCCTGGGTTTTCCTGCAGTGCTCGTGAAGATCACTGCAGTGTCCCATGTGCCCCAGGGCACATCCCAGAAAACATTCCTACACTGAACCACTCCTCCATGGAACTGCTGTTATGCAGCAGATCTGGTGCCAGCCCTACCTACTGACTGGTTGAATGTTCCGTAGTCATCTGGGCCTACCAGATCCCCTGAAAGAATGGTGTACTCAGATCCCTTCATACAAGGGTGCTTTTCTCTGATGCCACCTCCAACTCTAACTTTCTTAAGAAAGCAAATGTGTGAATCTGGCTCTGCCTTCAAGAAGCTCAGGTTTTGAAATACCCCTTTAAACAGTGTAATAACTCCAGGAATGGGAAAAAGTCACTACCAGAATTGGACATCAAACCCCTGATCTGTTGTACATTCTGAAGTCTTCTCAGTATAGAATTCAAGTGCTGAAAATGTAAAATAGAAAAGGCCTCCTACTGCCTGGAGTAGAAGGAATTAAACAAAGGGAGGGAGGGAGAGAGGCAGAGGGGGGATGTTACAGATAGCAAGAACCTGGCTTAGTTTAATATTGCTTTAAATCATACAAAGGAAGGAAAAACAAACAAACTAGTAGGGGAAGAGATTTTTTAAAAGCTTTAGCAGGAGGCAAAAAGGCTTTCCAGCTCAGGCCCCTCAGGGACCAATTCCGTGGCCTGAATTAGAGCTCTGCTTGCCATTGATTCCAGAGGTGGGGCTACCCGGTAAGAAAGGGAGATAATTCACATCCGCCCAGTCGGCTTTTCAGATCCACTGTCAGCCATGCTATAGAAATCTGATGAAGACTCCTTGGTAGACAGTTTTGACACAGAAGGACTTCCGCTTTTCCATAAACGTTTAGCTCCTGCCCTGTCCTTTGTGAACACACCACATACTTCATTCTTGTTTTAAAGCTTAAAGAAAAATCCATGTGCATCATCATTTGAGTTGAGCCAATATTTCACAGCTAAGCAGAAATTGCCAATATCTCCAATTTATGATCCTGTTTCCACCAGCTAATAGGGCTTAATGAACTCATTTTCATATTTTATTTAAACAAACACCTATAGTTACAAGCAACAGTCTTTTGTTTATGGTGGAGCATGACCTCCAAAGCTCTTTCTTTTCCAAGTTGGATTTAGCCTCCCGCTCACCAAGGCCTGGGTTTGGAGATGACTGCCGTCATGGGCAGCAAAGGTCTAGGTGGATTCCAGGCAGGCTGTTCAGGGTGGCCACACTGTTCCCATCTCACTGTGTCTGGCCTATGCCTTTTCCCATTTCTGTTCACATTATAAAGTGTACCTTGTGTCACCATAAGCTACAGTGGATGCCTGCAGCTCTGTCTTTGAGAAATCTGTAGAGGAGAAGATGCTGCAAGAGATGAGATCAGGTGGTTATTATCTCACCAGCCAGATGTCACCCCATCACCTCCATGATGCCTACCCCCAGTGGAGCCCCCCTAGGAAACACTGCTCTGCCCTGACAGGTGGCGCCCCCAAATAGTTGTGGATTTCCAGTGGCACATGATGGAAGCCCTATTTTGTGTTGAAAGTAGAGTATTTTATCAAGTGTGGCAAAAGAAAAACCCCTGTTTGTGGGGAAACCTGGGCTCCAAAAGCCAGTTTCAGGAAATGTTGATGGGACACCATCTTCCTCTCGAAGCCTGTCTGCAGTGCTGCGCCTGCGTTAAAGGCAGCAGCTGGGAGCAGGCGATCGCTTCGCTAATGGCTTGGTCCTCTGCATTGCGCCACTTGAAGGTCTCAAAACCCTGCCGGAAACGGGGCTTTATCAGCCTTGGTCCACTGTGGGCACCCCACCCCCATGCCTCCGTTTTAATCCTGGGCCCGGAATGAGAGGAAAGCGCAAGCAGGGGGCGGCCACGCGCCCGCCCCAGTAAATTGCCCGTTGCGCTCTTGTTGTAAATTTCAGTACCTTCCACTCTCCCTCTGTAAACTCTGATTTATGAGGGCCAGGATGCAGACAGACAGTTTGTGATTGGATGTACTGCTCTCTTGTAGAGAATTTACTTCAGATCAACAGAAAATTATTTCTGAAGCTCCTCTGGTCGTTAGTCTCAGTTAGGCAGCCACTCGGAGCAGGTCAGGCGGCAGGCTGGAGACACCCTCTCCTCCTTCCTCCTGCACGTGGGAACCAGATGAAGTGCCCGCCAGCTAACACTGCTGGAGCCCACCATGCATGTTCCTCAAAAGCTGTGCATAAACCTTTCCCACCACAGGCCCACCACTCTGTCCATCGGTGCTTGCGGTGGACGGTCGCGTCACAGGCCATCCTTTGTCACAAGCTCTGGACCAGTCTCTGCTGGTGTTTCTCTCATGCCTTGCCTGAACAGAGCAGTTTCTTTCATTGTCCGTTTGGTTTTTGTTTGAGCCTACAGTGGTATCAATTCTGACACTAATACATCTTAGCAATGCTACACTTCCTGAAGATGCTGGAATTGCTGTGTTTCAGCTCCAGGTTGACGTGATGAATAAGATGCTGAGTTTTAGCAAATGTGTATGGAGAACAGCTCTTAAGCAAATAAAATTTTCTGGTAGACAAGATCATAACATTAAGCAAAAACTCCTCTTTTTGTACATTCAGAGTAGACCCTGAGTGTTAGGATTATTTAGCAGTTTATTAGGCCTAACCAGCCAAGGTCAGAGATGGTTTTCAGTTTCCTCAGATACATCAGGAGAAGGTGGCAGAGAGGGAGACCCTTTGGGAGGCAGGATATCGTGGGCTGAGGAGCCTGGACTCTGGAGCAGGACCAGCTGGGTTCTAGCAAGTTCACAAAGCTCTCAGTGCCTTGGTTTCCTCCTTTGTGAAATAGGGGCAGAATAGTTCCGATTTCACAGGTGTGTGGTGAGGGTTAAATATATTAATGAGCGGGCTAGACAGCAGGATGGGCAGATCAGGAAGGAGATTCTAAGATCTAAAGTTAGGGCAGGAGCAGGGAGAAGACAGAGGCAAGTGGTCAGTCTGCGTGGCCAGCCTTCTCCATGGTCCCTGCGAGGAGGGAAGACCTAGAACCTGAGAAGCAGCCAGGAACCATCAATGAAGGAGGAGGATGGTTTAGTAACCCGCATGACCCAGGGCAGAGACTTACTAGCCAGGAGGACAGCACCACGACTCTGTGACTCAGCTAAGATATGGCTTATTTCTTGAATGTTCCTGTGTGAACCACGCCAGCATGTGGGTCGCTGGTGCCCACACACAGAAGCTGCTAGGCTGCGTGGGGACCTCAGGACAGCAAGCAGGGAGCGGGTTTTGAGGTTATTATCATTATTTTTTAATAGTAAAGCCCCAAGACTCTCTCCTCTAAATTCTTATTTACCTGCTAGTGCAACTTTCTAACTTTATTTATTACTTTCATCAGAATGAGAAAGAAGCTGAAGATGTGTCCCCATGCTTCAGTGTCCCTAGGTTTATTGATTGAAAAGGAGGAAGACCAAGCGTTTTCAGCGATGTTCCTTCACCTTTGGGCCTGAGAGCTCTTTCCATCACTATCTTCCTCTTCAAAAGACACTTTTAAGTGTTCTCTAATCACATAAACTCCCCTCCATGGGAGTTGATTTGGGAGTTAGTTGGGTCTTTTTTCTCTACGCCCCCAATCACGACGGAATCTGAGGTTGAATAAATTTTGATTGCGAGGCCCTGCTGGACTGAGCAGAGTTTAGGGGGAATATCAAATTTGCTAGGAAAACGATGTTCAGACAGGGAAGGGGTAGAGTTAGGTAAAAAGAAATTTTCACACACTCAGGTAAAAAGAAATTTTTCCTAGCAGAGCACTTTGCACAATGGAAGAGGAGCCCATCAGTCATTCCATAAAGAAAAAAGTAGAAGTGTTTGCATAAATTAGTTGCAACCCAAGAGGAAGCTACTGATTTAGGGCACTGTATAATAAAAAGATCAGCTGATAAGAATGGAAATATTGGCAAAATACATCCATAATTTGACAAGAGAAGGTTAAATGGAGCACAGCAGGCTGGCAGTCATCATTGTTCTTTAATCCCTGCATCGGGTTCTGAGGTTACCAGGGTATCTGACCGGCCCAGTCTACATGAGTTCCCTCTGTGGGGGAAGGATAAGTCCCTGTGATAGGAGAAGGGGCAACAGAAATCAGGACGGGGGTGCGGAGGAGGAGCCTTGACCCCGAGCTCTGTTTTGGTAGGCTGTGGATTCCAGTGAGCCTTCAGCAGGTCTGGCTGTGCTCTCTGTTGTTCTGAGACCGCAGAGATCATGACATGGCATCCAGCCTCAGCCCTGGGCTCTCAGGAGACCCTGCGTCAACTCTTGTATTGTCACTTCCCAGGCTACCAGGTTTCCTGGGAGGTGTACGGCCAGAACGACTCCCGGCTCACACACACTCTGAACAGCACAACTCACGAGTATAAAATCAGAGGCCTGTCGTCTCTCACCACCTACACCATTGATGTGGCTGCCGTGACGGCCATGGGGGCTGGCCTGGTGACCTCATCCACCATTTCTTCTGGAGTGCCGCCAGGTCAGTAAAATCGCCTGAGGTTGCCTTTCCCCTCGAGGTTTCTGACACGGAGCCTATCGGCACTTCCGTGCAGAAGCCGAGAGCCTTGAAAAGGGGGCATCGGCCTCCTGCTAAGATGCTTGACGGTAAGTGGATGTTGACCCAACTTCGCCCTGTTCTCCAGAGTATCCCCTCGTGGCGTAGCATCTCTTCTGTCACTGTGTGGATGAGTGGAAATGTGCCTAAGGGAAGGGAAGGAGACTTGGCTCACAAAGCATGAGCATGATCTGGAGAGCCGGGAATCTGAACCAGCACCGAGGTGCTCACTCTGGAGGGAACCCATAGACCAAGAGCCACACAGAAGTGTCACCGCCTGCTTTGAGAGAGAGAGAGAAATAGGAAGTATTCATATTAAAATTAAGAATAGAAAGTAAAACACTTTCTTCACTTAACAAAACAAGTTTGGGTTTGCATTTAAAAATAAGTAGGGATGCGGTGCACCTGTAATCTCCGTGCTTTGTGAGGCTGAGGCAGGAGGGTCGCTGGAGGCAAGGAGTTCAAGACCAGGCTGGGCAACATAGTGAGACCCTGTCTCTACAAGAACTTTAAAAATTAGCCAGGCCTGGTGGCTCATACCTGTAGTCCCAGCACTTTGGGAGGTTGAGGTGGGAGGATCGCTTGAGGCCAGGAGTTCAAGGCTGCAGTGAGCCATGATCATGCCACCACACTCCAGCCTGGATGACAGAGCAAGGCCCTGTCTCTAAGAAAAAAAAAAGAAAAGAAAAGGGAGTAGGGAAAGGTGGGAAGAAAAAGCAAGAGCTGGAGGGAGAAAGAAAGCACGGAGCTGGGCGTGAGAGGAATCCGTGCAGTGTGGCTGCTGTTACTGAGTGTGCCCTTTGGTGTAGCATGAGCTGCACCTGCTCTTGTGTCCTCGTGAAACTCAGATGAACTTCCTAAGTGCTCAGCACATGCATTTCCACTTTAGAAAATTGCTACTCAACTCTCTCTCCAATTTTAAAGTTATGTGTAAAGTCAAGGTGTTTTTCCAGGGAATTAATTCACTCACACATGTGAATGTGAGAATATTGTGGGGCTATCAGTTCGATTCTTTAATTGAAGCTATGAGTCTCTCGCCATTTAAAAGATGTCAATTTGACTTTTGAGAAAAGAATACTCCCCACATCCAGGTCAGTTTTCATAACCTAATTATTTTCTTGGGAGGGTGACGCATAATCTGAAAAGAATACAAAACAAATAAAATGTATGTGGTTAAAAAAAAGAATCCCTACAGGAATACGTGTGTTCACCATAATGACCTCTTCTCACAAGTGCTGCTCTAAATGCAGCAGCCCAGCAGCCCTTCAGGTGTGAGTACAGGCAGTGTCAGGGGGCACACGGCCTGGTGCAGACGAAGTGATGTTCAGTTAACCTGAGCCGCCTGCCCTGCCAGCGGGAGGAGACTTTAAGCAAAGCTGTCTGCCACCTTAGACCTCCCAGGTGGTGGTCCTTAAGCCCCCACATGTGTCAAAGTCACAGGCTGCTGGGACCCACCACAAGTGTCTAATTCATGAATCTGAGGAGAGGCTCGAGAACAGGCCTTTGGGACAAGTTTTCAGGTGACACTGAAGCTGCAGCTCAGGGACTACACTTTGAGAACCGCTGCTGTGAGGCAATTCAATACTTTCTATAAATGATTAACAAAACAAAGTAAGTGAAATAACAATAACTTGCATTTTCTTAGAGGAAAGATGTCTCTGACTTACAGAAAGATTCATTTTTTCATTTATTTTACACAAATCGCCAGTTCCCATAACATACATTTAAAGTATTTAAAGGTAGTTCCCAAAACACATATTTAAAATATCATGAATACTTTCAGCACAGTAGTGAAGATGATGGTGTGCTGCTTAATGTGTTATCAATGGCTTCAAATGCCAGTTGATGGTAGCACTGGAAGCACATCTGTGTGTGAGTCGCCAGGTTTTTCTGGGATGGCTTGAATGCTCTTCTTCCGGGGCAGGGAAGTGGGCCAACTGACTCCAGCAGGCCTCTGCCCCGTCGTTACTGTGCTCCACGCTGCACCTGGACCTGCAGACTGGCAAGTGAAAGAGAAAAGTGAGGCCTGGCTGTGTTGGCAAGACCTCTGATAGTCACGGTGGGGAGAGGTGATAGAGTAGCTGTTGCTTCACTGGCAGGACAGATCACCTGCAGCTGGAGATGGATCCTAAGATGTGCCTATGCATTCCAAAAATTGGCTGGAAGCAAAATCAGCTGATGGCGATCACTTTTGGAGTACTGTATTCTGTTTACTGTGCTTGAAGTTAGTATCTATTAATAACTGAATAGCTATTTTAAAAATCCAGAGAGTTGAGAAAGGACAAAGAGTCACTTGTCCTTCAGTAAACATTTTCTGTCTCAAATTCATTAAACTACATGTGGAAAGGACCTTTGACATCCTAGAGGTCCTGCCTGTGCCAATACAGAATTGATGACCAAAGTAGTTCTATTGTCCCTGTGCAAGACCAGATATTAAACACCTTAAGCAATGACAAGTTAGGAAACATTCCTCAGATGTAGTACAATCCGAAAGCTACACTTGCATTGTGTTTTTCTTTTTTCATTTTATCTCTTTATCTTTCTCGAGGATATTTTGCATAACACCATAATATAAAAGCTCTCACTTTGAACTCAGTGGTGTACTTCCAAGAGGGCAGCTGCCTACCAAAGGGGCTCTCGTCTCTGAGTGGGTTCAAGCCACAGGTGCCCTCAATGGGAACCTCGTTCAGAACCCACTTCCCTCTGACCTAGTTGCCAGAGTAACTGAATACACGCAAAGTGGGAAGAGTTCTGCACTTTCACCTGAGTTTGGTTGTCTTGGAAACCAGACCCAAGAAACCTAAGGCTCATGACCTGACACTGACTGGTGTCACACTGCCCAGAAGCAATATTAGGCTTGTACCCTCTTCCCCCCACACTTACAAGGCCCCACAGTAGTTACAAAAGGGAGCATGTCCACTCAGTTCCTTGTGTTGTTTCCGGAACTAGGAAGAGTTATACTCATTTATCCTTTTTGCATTCATCAAGTATCTGTTAATTGCCTACTATGTACAGAGATGAATAAGACTTGATTCCTGCCGTCAGAGTTTATCATTAGGAGGTCACATTAGTAATGTGTTTCCTAATGCTACTTCAGATGGCCTGGAGCCCACTGGTGACCCTATTAAAGTAAAAATCATGCTGTGATGGTGTTCCCGGGAGAAGCTATGCTGCTTCTTACTTTCGTAGTTTTGAAAACAAACCCTTTTTTGGCCCAGGATCATTTTGAAGCTGCTTACTTGCTGACACATTTGAGACCTTTCTCACGTTGTGATGGAGTTTAAGCTTCTACCTCCCCTCTCTCATTCATCTCTAGACCTTCCTGGTGCCCCATCCAACCTGGTCATTTCCAACATCAGTCCTCGCTCTGCTACTCTTCAGTTCCGACCAGGCTATGATGGGAAGACGTCCATCTCCAGATGGATTGTGGAGGGGCAGGTATGTGTCTCATCAGACTGGGAGCTGGTGCTTCTGGAGGGTGATGTTGGGACCTGTGCATGAGGGACACAGAGCGATGCCTTTGCAGAATGATGCCGTGGGGTGTGGGGGAGGTGGCGGGCTTGGAGCAGGGCACCAGAGGCTGGAGATAATCCAGATACTAAGGCAGGATGTGGAGAGACAAGGGACAAGAAGATGTCAGCCCAGGGCCCTATTAGGCAATAGGACAGGGAATAATAAGGGATAAAAATCAAGTTGTGGACAAAATAGGTACCCAAAATATGATAGCATAGCTGACTGAGTTTCTAAAATTCTATATTACAGTTAGCCACCCAGTATACTAACAGGATTCATTGTGTGGTACAACTTGTCTGTCCTAAAATATGCATTTACTCAACAATATTTTTAGAGGCAGATTGTTTTATCTCCAGGCACTATTCTAGGCATGGAGGAGATAGCAGCAGACAAAACAGTGTTTCTGCTGTCACAGAAAAAAGTTCTCCCTTGGGAGGAAGGACCTTCAGTTGCCAGGAAAGGAACAAGCAGTTACATTCGAGGAACAGCAGGGAGACGTGGTGGCTGGAGTGAGGGGAGCGCAGCCCAGAGTAGCAGGAAGTGAATTTGGAGAGAGCTGGGGGCAGATCACACAGATCCAAGAGAGTGGACGACAGGAGAGGCTTGGGATCTGGCTCCAAGTATAGCAGCAAGCCGCCGGAGGATGTGGGGGCCGAGGACAGGGCCACACTTGACTGGGATCCCACTGGCACTGATGAAAACTACACCATCTGCCAGTTCCATGTTCTAATAAAAGCAGGAGAAAAAAAGATAAAGAGCCAAATTATGAGAAGTAGTAAAGTTTCAAAATAGTTATTGTCTGTAGTAAAACCCTAGTGATTTTCATGACTGTACTTGCACTATATTGTAAGACAATTCTCTCCTGGAAATTGGCCATAAATTAGGGGCAAATCCTATACACATCTTCAAAAGTTTCATTAAGCAAACGTTTCTGGAAATCTATGTAGGATCTTGAAAGTGCAAGCCATTTAGATGGGACTGGACCATAAATGGGGTGGGAGCAATTATTTACTCGGGGGAAAAAAAGCAGTATAACCCTACCTCACATCAAATTAAGAAAGTAAATCCCCAGTGAATGAAGACTAAAATGATAAAAGCAAACTTTAAAATGCTTAGGAGAAAATATAGGAGAAGAATCCTAATAATCTTATGAAAACCAACTCTAGGGTCTTAAAGTCTGGCAGCAGAGGTAGCTGGGCAAGCACTTTTAGAGCTACACAAGCACAAGCTGTACTCTGTGGTGTCTAATGATGCCACGCAGCTGGGCGCCACAAAGGGCCAAGGGGGCAGCGCTCTCTGCGAGCTTCAGAATTTGGTATTAGACCCGACCAGGCCACAGTGACAAAAATGCCAGCATCTTCATGACTCGACACACGGAGGTTTCTTGTGCTTCCAGGCAGGCTGGGAGTGCTCATGCTGCTTTTGCCTGTGTTCAATTGACCAGAACTTGGCTGCATGGCCCCAGTGTCACTGCAGGAGGGTCTGGGGATTGTTGTGTTTGCCCAACAATGTGCCCAAGAAGGAATGGTGTGGTAAACCCTCAGCAGAATTTCTCTACCATGGTATATTGGTTCTATGTCTCTGTCCCACAAGCCTTTTCTTTATATTGTTAACGTAAGAAATGTTAAACATACCCAGAAGGAAAGAGAGTGTCATGTACCACCACATACCCATCATCCAGATTCAACAGTTCTCAAGACTTTGCCACATCCATCAATCCCCCTTTTATTGTTTATGTATTTTGAAGCAGTTTCAGGCTGTGTCATTTTGCCCCACATATTCCATAAGCTTGTCTAAAATACATATTCACATACCAATGTGGATGAATTTTAGAAACATAGTATTGAGCAAAGGAAGCCAGACCCCTAATTTGAGTAGGTGCTGTGTGATTCCATTTATATAAAGTTCGGAAACAGAAGGAAGGCATCTTTGCGGTGAGTTCTGACTCACCTTGGGGCCTTGTGAGGTGACAGTGATTGGGAAGAGTGTGCCTGAGGAGTGGACCTTCTAGAATGCCAGGATGCAGTTTCTTGATCTGGTTTTAGAGTATGTGTGCATGTTCATTTTGTGCAAACACCTGTGGACTGTTAACTTGCCTGTGTGTCCTATTTCAATAAAACGTTTACATTAAAATACGAATATCTTCTCTCATAATTATAATGCATTATCACATCTGATACAGGTAATAAAAATTCCTTAATATCGGTCCACATTCCACTTCCTGCAAATTTTCCAAAAACATCTTTTTACTATGATTTTGGTAAAAAATAAAAAATAAAAAAAAACAGGATCCACACAGATTCACACTATGCATTTTGCTGTCATGTCTCTCAAATTTTTTTTAAAGTATTTTTAAAGCTTTATTGAGATACAGTTGGTATGCAAATAAACTGCATATATTTAAAGTGGACAGTTTGATAAGCTTTGACTTAGCTATGCATATACATATGCATTCACGTAGGAAACCACCACCACCATCAAGACAATGAGCACATTCCTCTTCCCCAAAATGTCCTCGTACTCTTCGGTATTCCTCCCTATGAGCCCCTTCCATTTCTGGGCAACCTCTCATCTGCTGTCACTGTCGGTTAAATCTCTTTCAATTATGAGGAGTCCTCTACTCCCTTCTCCCCTCATGCCATTACCTTGTTGACAAAAGTCAGCCAGTTGTCCTGTGGGACGCCTGCATTCGAAATGGACCTGGTCACCTCCTTGTGGTATTGCTTGACTTGTTCCTCTGCCCACGTGTCCTGTAAACTTCTTCATACCAAAGGCATGATTAGGTTCTGTTTCCACGTCTTCCTGCCCCCTCCTTCCCCTTCCCCCTTCCCTCCCTCCCTACCTCCCTGTCTCCCTTCTTTTCTTCCTCTCTCATGAGTACTTCCTAAGTGGTGCTGTACACTCCTGTTGCAACAGATCAGGAGCAACGCATGGTCTAGCTGCCCCCACTTCGGGACACAAAATTGAGCAGCAAGTTGTCAATTCCCCATCAACTTTTTATCTACTGGTATCCATCCATAATCTTTGCCTGAATTAATTATTTTCTTTGGATATTCAAAGTGGTACTTCTATCAATCTTTCCTCACATAGTAGCTGGAACTCTGAAGGGAAGCATTTCCCCTCATCCTTCAGCCTATTTAGTTACCCTAAAATACGAGAAGGCAGAATGAATGCTTAATTCTTTTCCTTTAATTACCAATTATCAGAGTGAGAAATCGATCCCCTAGTTACCTCCAATGTTGAACAGATTTTTCTTTCTTTTTTTTTCTGTCCTGCTATCTCTTTTGCTGTTAGGAAAGCACAGGTTTTTATATAGTCGATATGCTTTAGTCACCTGTAGTCATTCTTTTTGAGCCTAGAATTTGGCCCGGGCAGCATTTCTGTCCTCGGCCTTTGACATGAGGACACTAGTCTTTGGTGACTTTTTTGCTTTCTGATACAACAGGATGTCCAGGATTAGACTGTGCCTTCCTGCCCCAGGCTCAGATGGAGCCATTCCTGCTGGGGCCTTTGTTTCATTTAGTGTCAAATGGTATTTAAAGACCATAACCTGGGCACTGAGGTGGGTAGGTGCTTATTACTCCTGGCTTGTCATTGCTTCTAGACCTTTCTAGTGGACGGAGAGAAGAAATACATATTTTTGAAACATCATTAGTTTATACTGACATTTTCAACTGAAATTTAAGATGGCTAACCTTAGATTTATGTTTTAAAATATATCTATCCTTATACTAAGATTGTGCTTTTTAGACATTCTAGCCTAATTATTTATTTTTTTATCCTATTATTATATTAAGAGCTGCAAAATTATAATTTTAGTGTTATGACTAATAATAAGACTACTGAATGAAATCTAAGTATTTGTTTTTAAATATATGACATCGTGGATGTACAGTCAAAATACTGAGTTCTAAAGTCACATAATTATTTTCTCTCTGGGGTTATGCCACCAACTTGTTACAGAATTAAATTCACTTATTTTAGGATTTTTGTTTTATTTTGTTATTTTGCTTCAATTTTTAGCAATGTCTTTCTTTAAAAATCATTTTACTTTTAAAAAATTGTTGGAGCACTTTAAATTCATTTTTGAAATGTAACTTATTATGTGATCTCAAATTCAAAGCTTTAGAAAGTTGTATTCGAGGAGTTTATGTTCATCTTTGTCCCCTTTGCCTGTTGCCTGTCTCTCCCATAGATAACTATATTTATTAGGTTTTGGGCTTATCCCTTTTTTTTTTTGCAACATAAGCAGATATACATATTTGTATCCCATCTTACACAGAATGTGGCGTGCTGCACCTTGCTGTCTTAACCTGACAATCCATCCTGAAGGTCACAGCATCTCTGTGTGCAGAGTTCCTCATGTCTTCTTACACCTGCACAGATCTACCCAGTGTGCGGAAACCAGAGTTTGTTTGCTTAACTAGCCCTATGGATGGACACTGGAATGTGCATTAGTTTTATATTGCTGCTATGACAAATTACCAAAAATCTAGTGGCTCACATAGTACAAATATATCCTCTTGCAGTTCGTAGGTCAGAAGTCCACTCTGGGTCTTATGAGCTAAAATCAGGGAGGCTGTGGGCAGTGTTTCTTCCAGAGGCTTTGGGGAAGAATCTGCTTATGAGCTCATTCAGGCTGTTGGCAGAATTCGGTTCCTTGTGGCTGTAGGACTGAGATCCCAATTCCATGTTCATTGTGAGCTGTGGTCATTTCCAGCTTCTAGAGGTTGGGACCTCTTCCTTCATCTTCAGAGTCAGCCATGGCAGGTCCGAGTCCTTCTGAGGCTTCAACTTTCTCCCTCTTCTTTCATCTCACCTCTGACCTACTCTTCTGCTTCCCACTTCCACTTTTAAGGACTTGTGTGAATACTTTGTACCCACTGGATAATCTCCATATTTTAAGGCTCTTAACCTTAATCACA